TAGACTGTGGTAGATGTTGTCGCAGCTCGAGTACTTGTCCCACAGTAGACTGTGGTAGATGTTGTCGCAGCTCGAGTACTTGTCCCACAGTAGACTGTGGTAGATGTTGTCGCAGCTCGAGTACTTGTCCCACAGTAGACTGTGGTAGATGTTGTCGCAGCTCGAGTACTTGTCCCACAGTAGACTGTGGTAGATGTTGTCGCAGCTCGAGTACTTGTCCCACAGTAGACTGTGGTAGATGTTGTCGCAGCTCGAGTACTTGTCCCACAGTAGACTGTGGTAGATGTTGTCGCAGCTCGAGTACTTGGCCCACAGTAGACTGTGGTAGATGTTGTCGCAGCTCGAGTACTTGGCCCACAGTAGACTGTGGTAGATGTTGTCGCAGGTCGAGTACTTGTCCCACAGTAGACTGTGGTAGATGTTGTCGCAGCTCGAGTACTTGTCCCACATTAGACTGTGGTAGATGTTGTCGCAGCTCGAGTACTTGTCCCACAGTAGACTGTGGTAGATGTTGTCGCAGCTCGAGTACTTGGCCCACAGTAGACTGTGGTAGATGTTGTCGCAGCTCGAGTACTTGTCCCACAGTAGACTGTGGTAGATGTTGTCGCAGCTCGAGTACTTGGCCCACAGTAGACTGTGGTAGATGTTGTCGCAGCTCGAGTACTTGTCCCACAGTAGACTGTGGTAGATGTTGTCGCAGCTCGAGTACTTGTCCCACAGTAGACTGTGGTAGATGTTGTCGCAGCTCGAGTACTTGGCCCACAGTAGACTGTGGTAGATGTTGTCGCAGCTCGAGTACTTGTCCCACAGTAGACTGTGGTAGATGTTGTCGCAGCTCGAGTACTTGTCCCACAGTAGACTGTGGTAGATGTTGTCGCAGCTCGAGTACTTGGCCCACAGTAGACTGTGGTAGATGTTGTCGCAGCTCGAGTACTTGGCCCACAGTAGACTGTGGTAGATGTTGTCACAGCTCGAGTACTTGTCCCACAGTAGACTGTGGTAGATGTTGTCGCAGCTCGAGTACTTGTCCCACAGTAGACTGTGGTAGATGTTGTCGCAGCTCGAGTACTTGTCCCACAGTAGACTGTGGTAGATGTTGTCGCAGCTCGAGTACTTGGCCCACAGTAGACTGTGGTAGATGTTGTCGCAGCTCGAGTACTTGTCCCACAGTAGACTGTGGTAGATGTTGTCGCAGCTCGAGTACTTGTCCCACAGTAGACTGTGGTAGATGTTGTCGCAGCTCGAGTACTTGTCCCACAGTAGACTGTGGTAGATGTTGTCGCAGCTCGAGTACTTGTCCCACAGTAGACTGTGGTAGATGTTGTCGCAGCTCGAGTACTTGTCCCACAGTAGACTGTGGTAGATGTTGTCGCAGCTCGAGTACTTGGCCCACAGTAGACTGTGGTAGATGTTGTCGCAGCTCGAGTACTTGTCCCACAGTAGACTGTGGTAGATGTTGTCGCAGCTCGAGTACTTGTCCCACAGTAGACTGTGGTAGATGTTGTCGCAGCTCGAGTACTTGTCCCACAGTAGACTGTGGTAGATGTTGTCGCAGCTCGAGTACTTGGCCCACAGTAGACTGTGGTAGATGTTGTCGCAGCTCGAGTACTTGGCCCACAGTAGACTGTGGTAGATGTTGTCGCAGCTCGAGTACTTGGCCCACAGTAGACTGTGGTAGATGTTGTCGCAGCTCGAGTACTTGTCCCACAGTAGACTGTGGTAGATGTTGTCGCAGCTCGAGTACTTGTCCCACAGTAGACTGTGGTAGATGTTGTCGCAGCTCGAGTACTTGTCCCACAGTAGACTGTGGTAGATGTTGTCGCAGCTCGAGTACTTGGCCCACAGTAGACTGTGGTAGATGTTGTCGCAGCTCGAGTACTTGTCCCACAGTAGACTGTGGTAGATGTTGTCGCAGCTCGAGTACTTGTCCCACAGTAGACTGTGGTAGATGTTGTCGCAGCTCGAGTACTTGGCCCACAGTAGACTGTGGTAGATGTTGTCGCAGCTCGAGTACTTGTCCCACAGTAGACTGTGGTAGATGTTGTCGCAGCTCGAGTACTTGTCCCACAGTAGACTGTGGTAGATGTTGTCGCAGCTCGAGTACTTGGCCCACAGTAGACTGTGGTAGATGTTGTCGCAGCTCGAGTACTTGTCCCACAGTAGACTGTGGTAGATGTTGTCGCAGCTCGAGTACTTGGCCACAAATATTTCAGGCAGTTAAGTTTGTATTTGCCTATCAGTACATACCTATCAGTGACTACGGGAGAGTGAGTTCTAGCTCTTCATCCCCCGCCTACTCGCCTTGTTGTGTTATAATTCAACAGCCGTAATGTTCGAGTTCCTTGTATGACATCTTGCTGTGGGAGGTGTAGTGTGAACAAAGACCAAGACACACACTGTTCCAAGAGATACAAAAAAAATCTGAAATTCTTCAAATATATAAAGATCTCGCTTCTAGTCGATAACAGAAATATATGTGAGGAAATTATAAGCTGTTTGGCCTAAAATGATGAGCAGCAGCCCTTATATTGCATTGTTATAACTAATAATGATAAGTATGTTCATTAATCAACCCGTCCTCTTACAAATAACGTACCTTGCTTTTCCCTCGTATGCACACTAAGGCTAAAACTGCTGTAATAGAAAATGGAAGTGGCTCGCGAAAGTGACGGTTTTCTGAAACGGGAAAGGACCCGTTTTCTGTTTTGGGTCCCCTGCTCTGAGCAGAGCAGAGCTCTGCTTAGAGCTCCTCTCCTCTCTGAGAGGGCCTCTGAGCTCAGAGAGAATAATACTCTCTTTTTCTTGAGAGAGCATTATTGCTTGCGACCTCTGAGCACCTTTGGCACCTTCTTGTCGAGAGAGCATTATGGCTAGCGACCTCTGAACATCTCTGGCACCTTGTTTTGGAGAGAGCATTATGGCTAGCGGCCTATGGGCACCTCTGGCTCTCTGTTCTCGTGAGAACATTATGGCTAGCGGCCTCTGAACACCTCTGGCTCCCTGTTCTTGAGAGAACATTATGGCTAGCGGCCTCTGAACACCTCTGGCTCCCTGTTCTTGAGAGAACATTATGGCTAGCGGCCTCTGAGCACCTCAGGCTCCCTGTTCTCGAGAGAACATTATGGCTAGCGGCCTCTGAGCACCTCTGGCTCCCTGTTCTCGAGAGAACATTATGGCTAGCGGCTCGAAAGCTTTCAATATTGTTCAGGAAACTGGCGTTAATTGCTCTTAGGGAAGTAGAAAGTTGCGCGCACCCGGGAAACTTTTTTGCCTGCTAGGTTTTGGCTTCTTCGAGCTGGTGCATTGCGACGCATGGTGACGCATTGCGACGCATGGTGAAACTATCGGCGTATAGTGGCACTGACGACGTATGGTGACACTGTCGGCGCATGGTGACACTGACGACATATGGTGACACTGTCGACGTATGGTGATACTGTCGACGTATGGTGACACTGTCGACGCATGGTAACACTGTCGACGCATGGGAACACTGTCGACGCATGGGGACACTGTCGACGCATGGTGACACTATCAGCATATGGTGACACTGTCGACGCATGGGGACACTGTCGACGCATGGTGACACTATCAGTATATAGTGACACTGTCGACGCATGGGGACACTATCAGCATATGGTGACACTGTCGACGCATGGGGACACTGTCAGCATATGGTGACACTGTCGACGCATGGTGACACTATCAGCATATGGTGACACTGTCGACGCATGGTGACACTATCAGCATATGGTGACACTGTCGACGCATGGGGACACTGTCAGCATATAGTGACACTGTCGACGCATGGGGACACTATCAGCATATGGTGACACTGTCGACGCATGGTGACACTCTCAGCGTATGGTGACACTGTCGACGCATGGTGACACTGTCAGCATATAGTGACACTGTCGACGCATGGTGACACTGTCGACGCATGGTGACACTGTCGACGCATGGTGACACTGTCGACGCATGGTGACACTGTCGACGCATGGTGACACTGTCGACGCATGGTGACACTGTCGACGCATGGTGACACTGTCGACGCATGGTGACACTGTCGAAGCACATCTAGCAACAGAGGTTGTAGTGACGGGTGTTGGGAGGTTATACTGACGGGTGTTGGGTGGTTATACTGACGGGTGTTGGGTGGTTATAGTGACGGGTGTTGGGTGGTTATACTGACGGGTGTTGGGAGGTTATACTGACGGGTGTTGGGTGGTTATACTGACGGGTGTTGGGAGGTTATACTGACGGGTGTTGGGAGGTTATACTGACGGGTGTTGGGTGGTTATACTGACGGGTGTTGGGTAGTTATACTGACGGGTGTTGGGTGGTTATACTGACGGGTGTTGGGTAGTTATACTGACGGGTGTTGGGTGGTTATACTGACGGGTGTTGGGTGGTTATACTGACGGGTGTTGGGTAGTTATACTGACGGGTGTTGGGAGGTTATACTGACAGGTGTTGGGAGGTTATACTGACGGGTGTTGGGTGGTTATACTGACGGGTGTTGGGTAGTTATACTGACGGGTGTTGGGTAGTTATACTGACGGGTGTTGGGTAGTTATACTGACGGGTGTTGGGTAGTTATACTGACGGGTGTTGGGTAGTTATACTGACGGGTGTTGGGTAGTTATACTGACGGGTGTTGGGTAGTTATACTGACGGAGTTATATTACGCTGTTGACATGTAAATATGGGACAATGACAATTATAGTAAGACTACCAACTTTATTATTGAGGTACAGTTATGTATTAATACAACAGTGTATACAAGTTATGTATTTATACAGCAATGTATACAAGTTATGTATTTATACAGCAATGTATACAAGTTATGTATTAATACAGCAGTGTATACAAGTTATGTATTAATACAGCAGTGTATACAAGTTATGTATTTATACAGCAATGTATACAAGTTATGTATTAATACAGCAGTGTATACAAGTTATGTATTAATACAGCAGTGTATACAAGTTATGTATTAATACAGCAGTGTATACAAGTTATGTATTAATACAGCAGTGTATACAAGTTATGTATTAATACAGCAGTGTATACAAGTTATGTATTAATACAGCAGTGTATACAAGTTATGTATTAATACAGCAGTGTATACAAGTTATGTATTAATACAGCAGTGCATACAAGTTATGTATTAATACAACAGTGTATACAAGTTATGTATTAATACAGCAGTGCATACAAGTTATGTATTAATACAACAGTGTATACAAGTTATGTATTAATACAGCAGGGTATATAAGTTATGCATTAATACAGGAGTGTTTACAAGTTATATATTAATACAGCAGCTTATACAAGTTATGTATTAATACATCAGTGTATACTGCTTCACATTCAGCACACCTGGCATACATGTATGATACAGACGCCGTCATTCAAGCTGCAGAAGAGTTATACAGGAAGATGTGAATGACTTGAGTCAGTGTTAAAATCCCTGCAAGCCGCCACCTCCTCCTGGGAAGTTGAGCAGTGGGATTTGCAGTGGGAGGTGGTAGTAGTTCTGACTCCCTCCCAGGGTCTGGCCGTACCCTGGGAGCACCACGGTGCTGAAGGGGTTGAATGGGGTGACCAGTGGGGGTCCACCGGCCACGGGGGGGCCGGCCGAGCCTCCCTGGAGCTCTATGCCCGTCGGTCCGATTTTGTAGGTAGGGAGTTCAATGGGGGCGGCGATGGCCAGGGTGACCCCGGGCTTTAGCGTGGGCGTGACCGTGCCCTCGTCTGAGAGGTCTGGGAAGGTGTGCTTGGTGCTGAGCGAGGGGGCTGGGAGCCCCAGGGCTGGGGAGGTGCTGGTTATCTCCGGTACTGACGGAGGAGACTTGGCCACCGGGGGCGCAGGGGGAGATTTACGAACCGGGGGCGTCTTATGACGGTGGGAGTCGGTGACCGGGAGCTTCGGAAGTAGCAAGGGGGATTTTCCCGGAGGATTACTGGGCTTACCTGGAATGGGAGATTTGAGTCTTGCTGAAGTAATAGGCGGCTGTTGTGTTGGGGATTTTCGTACGGGATGGGTGATGGGTGGGCCTTGGCCAGATGGGTGATGAGCTGTGGGGAATTCAGGAGGTGGGCCAGGAGGGAGTGGGCCTCCCAGAGGGGGTAACCGTCGGGGGGGAGCAGTAGGAGCCACGGGACCTGGGGATTCATCTCCAGAGATGCTCACAGGTGGGTTTAGTGGCTTACTGACATCAGGATTACCACGGAGTGCTGGACCTGGGAGCTTATGACCTAATGGGATTGCAGGGGAAGGGAGACTTGGCGATTTACCTATCGAAGACTTAACTGGAGATTGTGTAGTTGGCGATTTACGGTTGGGAAGTGTTAGAGCAAAACTAGGGGATTTATGTTCAGGGGCTTCCCCAATAGGGATTAACCTGGGTAGCGAGCCATAAGGTTCGTCTTTGCCCGGAATAGATGGAGGAGGAAAGGGGGTGAAGCCCCCCACAGCAGCATAACGAGACGAGATCTCATCACCAGGATCCTTCCCCAGGGAGCTGACGGCGCTCTTCCCGCCCAACATGAAAGGCTCAATTTTGCCAATCTTCGGCACCTCAAAAGGCGAGACTTGCTGTAGAGGAGGCAGTACCGGGGGCAGGAAGGCGTCTTCCACCAGCGCAGGGAGCGTCTTTAATGCCTCGTTTGTTTTTGGAGTGGCTTCTGGACCGGTGTGCTGGGCGCTCTTGCGTGTTCGTGACACCTGGCGAATACCAGGTGACCCTTTATATCCCCTTGGCAACCCTTTATCCTCTCTAGGCAGTCCTTTATCCTCTCTAGGCAGCCCTTTATCCTCTCTAGGCAGCCCTTTACCCCTCCTGTATCCTATATCCTCCCCAGACACCACTAAGCCCCTTCCTAAGATGGATTTGAACTCGAGTTGCCCGTCTCCCCTTTGGGCATGGCTGCGTCTTCTGAAAGCGTCGGGAGACGCCAGTGGGTCCTCATCCTGGAGGCGCTCCTGCTGCTGTGGGCGTCCCTCGGGCAGGAGGACTCCTGAGGGAGGCTGGTGGTGTTTGAGGAAGGGTTGCCTCACCTGTGGGCGGCTCCCTCCACCCCGCGCCTGAGGGACAGATAAACACAAGTGTAGTAATACTAAAAGCACCGTTCTTACCTGAGCCAGAGCCTCAGCGTCTCGAAGAAACGAGAGGAGGGGAGGAGAGGGGTGTGGGGAGGAGAGGGGTGTGGGGAGGAGAGGGGTGTGGGGAGGAGAGGGGTGTGGGGAGGAGAGGGGTGTGGGGGGAGGAGAGGGGTGTGGGGAGGAGAGGGGTGTGGGGGAAGGAGAGTGGTGTGGGGAGGAGAGGGGTGTGGGGAGGAGGGGCGTGGGGAGGAGAGGGGTGTGGGGAGGGGATGGGTGTGGGGAGGAGAGGGGTGTGGGGAGAGGAGAGGGGTGTGGGGAGGAGGGGCGTGGGGGAGGAAGGGTGTACAGTCAGATCTGAAGATTTTTAACCAGGTTCCTATTAACTGGGGATAATAGGACCCCCCACTTACTAACTTGCTTACCAACTTACTAATGACTTACTAACAGGTGTCAGAACCCCTTAACTCGTATTTGGACTCCATAATTCTTACCTGGACCCCTTAACTCTTACTTGAACCACTTAACTCTTATCTGGACACTTTAACTCTCACCTGCACCCCTTAACTACTGCTTGGACCCCTTAACTCTTACCTGGACCCCTTAACTCTTGGACACTTTAACTGGCACCTGATGCCTGGAGCTCTCACCTGGTACTTGGAGAAGGCGTCCAACGACAACAGAGTATCAGCGGCACCACAACCACCCAAAACTGCAAAGATAAAATACATTTGGATGCGCGCGTACACAGACACACTTGACAGAAGGATTCACTACAAACGACAAGGAAGTGTGTGAGGAGCTGAATAAGAAATTCCAGGAGGTCTTCACCTTAGAGCAAGGAGAAATTCCAGAGGTAAGAGAGGGAATAGCTAATCAGGAACCACTAGCAGAGTTTGAGATTACCAGCGGGGAAGTAAAAAAGTTGTTACTAGAGTTGGATGTGACAAAGGCTATAGGCCCAGATGGAATCTCACCTTGGATACAAAAGGAAGGAGCAGAAGAACTGTGCCTGCCACTCTTCATAGTGTATAACAAATCACTGGCAACAGGGAAACTGCCAGAAATTTGAAAAGCAGCTAATATAGTCCCGATATACAAGAAGGGGCATAGACAGGACGCACTGAACTACAGGCCAGTGTCCCTAACCTGCATACCATGCAAGCTGATGGAGAAGATTGTGCGAAGAAAGCTAGTGGAACATTTGGAGCGAAAGAACATTGTAACACAGCATCAACATGGGTTCAGGGATGGCAAGTCCTGCCTCACAGGGTTACTTGAATTCTACGACCAGGAAACAAAAATCAGGCAAAAAAGAGAGGGGTGGGCAGACTGCATATTTTTGGATTGTCAGAAAGCCTTTGATACAGTACCACACAAGAGGCTAGTGAAAAAACTAGAGATGCAGGCAGGAGTGAAAGGGAAGGTACTCCATTGGATAAAGGAGTACCTAAGCAACAGAAGACAACGAGTCACTGTGAGGGGTGAGGTCTCAGATTGGCGAGACGTATAGAAGGTCCAACAAATGGCTAGTAAAGTTACTGACACTCCCAAGTCAGATCTATAATGGAGCACTCACCATTGATTTGTTATTCCAGTCCACAGTCTTAAGTTGTTAGACAGTTCAAGACGGCTGCACACTAGTGAGAAACAAAATTAGTTTATTTAACCCAGTGCTGTCATGCGGACTCCAACACGCGAGAGATGTGGCTGGTCTGTGTATGTGTAGTCTACAAAGTTAAAACAAAAAAACCACATATTTTCACTTTGGCTTCTCTACTAGTCCCTCCCTCAAGAATAAACTACCAATCAAAAGGTGTGATATGTAAACAGGTGAATATTCCGTGTGTACAAACAGCATATTCGTCGCTCTTATCATTAAACACACAATATTACGGCACACATCATGGCAGGAGGCTCACGACCCAACCATCCTCCCACTTCAACAATTCACAAATCTTGTGAATGTTTACCTAATAATACATAATAGTATCCAATGAAAAGTTGAGATTTCCCACATTGCTACAGATAACTGTACAGAAAACGTTGAGTTGTATCTTGCATACGTCATATTAAACTGTAATGAGTAAAACAAAACAAAAATGATCTGTTGCAGGATAACAACTCTTCGCTTAGTTAAAGAAAAATGAGCAAGAGAAAAAGAGGAGGAAGGGGAACTAAGACATCAAACTGTCCAGAGTACTGCTGCTGCTGCTGCTGCTCCTGGACTTTACACACAAACACCTTCAGGCCCAGTCCACGTCCCCGCCGCCAGGCTAGGAAGAAAAATGCAATATATCTTTTTTGGGGCCTTGTTGGTCGGTTTGCGAGGCACTGTTGATGGCTGGGTTTTTGGCGTCAAGGAAGAAGAGAGAGAGAGAGAGAGAGAGAGAGAGAGAGAGAGAGAGAGAGAGAGAGAGAGAGAGAGAGAGAGAGAGAGAAGAGAGAGAGAGAGAGAGAGAGAGAGAGAGAGAGAGAGAGAGAGAGAGAGAGAGAGAGAGAGAGAGAGAGAGAGAGAGAGAGCGAGAGAGAGAAACAGAGACAGACAGAGAGAGAAAGCGACGGGGAGGGGGGGGGGAGAGACAGTCAACCACAGAAGAGTGACTGTACAGTTTTACTCACTATAGGAGCCAGTCAAAAGTTACTGTGGATAAAAATACTGAATAGCGTATTGAGGGCGGCGGGAACTGGTCTAAACACTACACTGGCTGGGGATTGGTGGACCCCTCCTCCCCTCCCCCCAACTGGAGCAGGTCACTCACACCCACCCAACTGTGGCAGGTCACTCACACCCACCCAACTGTGGCGGGTCACTCACGCCCCCCAACTGGAGTAGGTCACTCATACCCACCCAACTGGAGTAGGTCACTCACACCCACGCAACTGGAGCAGGTCACTCACACCCACCCAACTGGAGCAGGTCACTCACACCGACCCAAGTGGAGCAGGTCACTCACACCCACCCAACTAGAGCAGGTCACTCACACCCACCCAACTATAGCAGGTCACTCACACCCACCCAACTGTAGCAGGTCACTCACACCCACCCAACTATAGCAGGTCACTCACACCCACCCAACTGTAGCAGGTCACTCACACCCACCCAACTGTAGCAGGTCACTCACACCCTCCCAACTGTGGCAGGTCACTCACACCCACCCAACTGGAGCAGGTCACTCACACCCACTCAACTGGAGCAGGTCACTCACACCCACTCAACTGGAGCAGGTCACTCACACCCACCCAACTAGAGCAGGTCACTCACACCCACCCAACTAGAGCAGGTCACTCACACCCACCCAACTGCAGCAGGTCACTCACACCCACCCAACTGTGGCAGGTCACTCACACCCACCCAACTGTGGCAGGTCACTCACACCCACCCAACTGTGGCAGGTCACTCATATCCACCCAACTGTGGCAGGTCACTCACACCAACCCAACTGTGGCAGGTCACTCACACCCACCCAACTGTGGCAGGTCACTCACACCCACCCAACTGTGGCAGGTCACTCACACCCACCCAACTGTGGCAGGTCACTCATATCCACTCAACTGTGGCAGGTCACTCAAACCCACCCAACTGTGGCAGGTCACTCATATCCACCCAACTGTGGCAGGTCACTCATATCCACCCAACTGTGGCAGGTCACTCACACCCACCCAACTGGAGCAGGTCACTCACACCCACCCAACTGGAGCAGGTCACTCACACCCACCCAACTGGAGCAGGTCACTCACACCCACCCAACTGGAGCAGGTCACTCACACCCACCCAACTGGAGCAGGTCACTCACACCCACCCAACTGGAGCAGGTCACTCACACCCACCCAACTGGAGCAGGTCACTCACACCCACCCAACTGGAGCAGGTCACTCACACCCACCCAACTGGAGCAGGTCACTCACACCCACCCAACTGGAGCAGGTCACTCACACCCACCCAACTGGAGCAGGTCACTCACACCCACCCAACTGGAGCAGGTCACTCACACTCACCCAACTGGAGCAGGTCACTCACACCCACCCAACTGGAGCAGGTCACTCACACTCACCCGCCCACTCCCCCCACCTAACAAATCAACAGACGCGTACATAGTCAAACAAACTTAAATCCGTGATTCTGTGTCCACACGATGAATAACAAATGAGAGGAGCAGAGGAGAGCTACAGTTACTGCTTCAACAACACGATAAACAAAATTATAACTATCTTAGCCTTCAGTGCAGTAGGGAGTGAGTGAGACATCAAGTGAGTGGGACGTCAAGTGACTGAGACATCATGTGAGTGGGACCCGAATGATTGGGATACGAGTGAGATAACGAGGAAATATAACCACAGTAAGTTCAGCAAAACAAGTACGTTTGCCCTGGAGAGAATGTATACTGTCACAGTTGGCCACACCGGGCGTCTGAGAGGTGGGGGGAGACTTACCTAGAATGGTGAGGAGGCGGAGGGTTAGGACGTGGTTATATGTCCCTCTGGGACGGCCGGCCGCCATTGGTGTCTCTCTAGCTGCCTTTGGTGGTCCTAGATTGTCCAACTGCCAACCTTTATTATCTTGAATTGTACTGCAACCTGCTTGTTTCCCGTCCTTGGCTGTCCTGCAGCTCCTTCCGCTGGGGTCAGTAACTGAACCTTGGTGTCCTAGCTTGTCCTGTAGCCTCTTCCTGGTGTATCACCTGTTCCGGAGTTGTCCAGTAGCGCCTTCTTTGTGTCCAGTCCACTACTGCTGCTCCTGAGTAGTCCACTAGCAGCTCCTCGAATATCCCGTACTTTTTTCCCTAGATACTTGTAAGATTTTGGCGAGTGACTGGGTGATGGGTATGGCGAGGATGACGTTCCTGTGTGGCTCTCTGGTCGGTGTCGCCAGTGTGTGTGTGTGTGTTTGTGGAGGCGGAGAGCTGGCGTTCCCGTGTTGAGGGTTCCTGTCGAGGTCTTTCACTCAAGCTCCTCCCACTTTACGTGCTCTCACACTCACCTCTCACCTTCGTACAGTCCCCACACCCTACACACCTGTCACACGCCGCCTCCACACAATGGGCACTCACATACCTTTACACACCTGTAACACCTGTTACACACAACGTCACCACACCCTAGTGTGTGAATTCTTACTAATCATAACTCCCAGATCCCTTTCGCAATCCGACTTCGCAATCTCAACACCATCTAGCTCGTATCTTGTAACTCTATCATCATTACCTAGCCTCAGAACTTTACATTTATCAGCATTAAACTGCATCTGCCAATCTTTTGACCATTTCAAAACCCTATTTAGATCAACTTGTAGTGATAGTGAGTCTTCTTCCATGTTAATTTCCCTACCGATTATTGTATCATCAGCAAATTTGCAAATGTTGCTACTCAAACCTGAATCTAAATAATTTATATATATTATAAACAACAGAGGTCCCAAGACAGAGCCTTGAGGTACTCCACTAACAACATTTTCCCACTCTGACTTAACCCCATTTATACTAATTCTCTGTTTCCTTTGGAATAGCCATGCCCTAATCCAACTTAATATAGCACCCCCAATACCATGAGCCTCTATTTTTTTAATCAGTCTTTCATGTGGCACTGTATCAAAAGCTTTGCTAAAGTCAAGGTACACAACATCACAATCCTTACCACTATCAACTGCCTCAATTATGCTGGAATAAAAAGATAGCAAATTTGTTAAACATGAACGGCCATTTGTAAAACCATGTTGCGACTCATTTATTAATTTATGTTTTTCAAGATGAAGACAAATTGTATTTGCAATTATCGATTCAAGTAACTTTCCCACAATAGACGTTAGGCTAATTGGCCGATAGTTTGACGCAAGTGATCTATCTCCTTTCTTGAAAATTTGTACCACATTAGCTACCTTCCATGACTCTGGCACCCTATCTAACTCTATTGATTTATTAAATATGGTAGACAGTGGCTCGGAAAGCTCCTCTTTGCATTCTTTAAGCACCCTGGCAAACACTTCATCCGGCCCTGGGGATTTGTTTGGTTTGAGTTTTACTATTTGTTTAATACCATCCTCCCTGGTAACTGCTAAACTAGTCAACCTGTCCTCGTCCCCACCCATATATATATGTTCGGCTGAAGGCATATTGTTAAGTTCCTTTTTAGTAAATACAGATATAAAATATTTATTAAAAATACTACTCATCTCCTCGTCATTATCCGTTATTTGACCTGTCTCAGTTTTTAATGGACCTATCCTTTCCCTAGTCTTAGTTCGATATAACTGAAAAAAACCTTTAGGATTTGTCTTCGCTTACCCTGCTATGCGAACTTCGTAGTTTCTTTTTGCTTTCCTTATCTCTTGTTTAACATTTCTAACCAGTTGTACGAATTCCTGTTCTAAACTAACTTCCCCATTCTTAATCCTTTAGCACCACGCTCTCTTTTTACCTATAAGGTTCTTCAGATCCTTTGTTGTGTTTTCCTTTGTTATATAACATACTTGAACTTGAATCCTCAGCTGTTAATAGAGGAAGACCATTACTTCACTCCCAATTTCTTAGCTGGAACATATATACCATTTAAATATTCAAAATGCATTAATTTAGATTATATTTTGATCTGTACTTAACTTTTTTGACAATTTTTAATTAATCAAGATCGGAGACTTCAAAAGCCATATATTACATGGGTGTTTACACCCTTGGGTAAACATTAATAATTACATTATTTACAGTTTCACGACAACTCCATCCGCGAAAACCATTCCCAGCCAAATAAATATACTATTAATTAATTAATAAATAATAATAATAATAATGTGTTTTTTATGCAGAAACTTCATAAAGGAGTGATAGTCATCCAATCAGAAACAAATAATATGTCTCTGACTCAAGAACTTACGCAACAAGTCATGAAATTCATCTCATTGTAGTCTTAAGTAGCAACCCGGAAGCTAAATTGTCTAGACGACATTCTTAGATGAGTTTTCCACTATAATAGCCTTCATGTACGGCTGTCTTAAATATTCTTTATATCATCTTTTACTGATGGGCCAAACACGCGAGGTAGTCACGGGTCTCCATATAGCGCCGTCCAACGAGAAATACATGCTAAATAACGACGATTTTGAGCAATGTATAATTTGCAGTGAGTGTTTAACGGAGTTTAGTAAGAGGTAACGGGCCCCTGGGCGCGTCTGACGTCATCGGTGTGTGTGTCACCTGTTGCTGTGGGTGGCCTCTAGTTCCCAGGGTGTTGGAGGGGGTTCCTCTCTCTCTCGGCCACCCTCATCCACGGTGACCCATTTTAAAGTGTATTTCCTTCACTAAGGAGGCGAGAAAATGATATAGAACGCTAGCAAAATAAGGTTACCTCTAGTGTCAGGAGATACAAGCACAATTGTTTTTATAACAGTGCGCTTTAACGATTAAATTGTTGATATCTATGAATTCAATAAGAAATATAAATGAATTCATCGATTTTTAAAGCTTTACGATTAATAAATAATTTAGTTAAAAGATGTTGTAAAGATGTTTACAGTGTGTTCCGTGTAGGCCCGTGGTCCTGCCGTGGGTGCGTCCGCAGGCTCTCGTCACTGGTTATAATTGGCATTCATGACTCTGGGAATCCGTTTACTGCAGTTTTTTATAATTTCACATTGTCCCTGAGAGCTTGGCGTTGGTGTCCCTCTGGCTAATATGCCCGCCACGGCGCACACCTCGAGGGAATGAGGAAATAACTCGGATTTCCGCAGGTAGGCCTGGGGGAGAGGGTCGCTATTTCCGTTGTCTCCGCCGAGGCAGGAGGCGGCTCAATTATTATTTCTTATGCACTTGTGAGTGGAGATCCTGCCTCTGGGGCTCACTTTGTCCTCATAAACATTGGGAATAATAGGGTCGCTGCTTTAGGTTTGTACTGGAGGCTGAGATGGCTGATTTTTTTAATAACATTTATTACATTCTTGTACAGCCACTAGAACGCATAGCGTTTTGGGCAAGTCCTTAATCCTAATTTTTCTCCAGAATACAACCCGCCAAATTGTTTTAATAACCAGGTACCCATTCATTGCTGGTGAACAGAGGCTACAGTTAAGGATTGGCTCCCAGTCAATCTTTCATGTTCAGGATACAACCCAGGCCAAAGTGCTTGCGAAGCATCAAGCGAGTGCTTTACCACTGAACCATGGGCACTGCTAATTTGTTTAGGGACTTTTAGAATAAACTGGGACTGTTCAAATTTAAAGTGTCATAAATTATTAATTCATTTTGTTAGGGACAAGCAGTCTGTGTATGTATATATGTTAGGTTTTTATCGAGGTCCCCCCCCATTTAAGGTCAAACTACTGACCCTTCCCAGAATGCAAGCCCATAACAGTTGACTAACTCTTGGGTACCTATATACTACTAGGTGAAAGGAAAAGTATCCAACCATTTCTGTCCCACCTGGGATTCAAACCCTGGGATTCCTGATTGTAATAAGGTCAAGTAAATGACGTATTATTAAGGAGTGAAGTGACCAAAAAAATTATTGAGTTGAACAAAGATGTGAAAAGTAAATGCTTGTGGTATTGAGAGTCCAAGACCTGCAAACAGTTTGACCTAGCCATGTCAAAGTTACTCTTTAAGCAAACCAAACCTAACCTATTCTTACGTAGCTTAATAAAAATAATAAATATAATTTTGTGTTATATAATGTGCACAAGGTGTGTGACATCATAGTTTTTTATAGATTTCATCTGGTGCTATGAGCACTGTTTACCTGTAAACAATTTGGAGAGTTTTACTTTTCAAGTCAAATCAGGAAACAGGCTTGTTTACTGATCATTGTTAGTCAAACTCTTGCTCGTAGTGGCCTGCAGGACCATATATTCACTACAACCTGGATAACCTGGTACTTCCTGCAGGAAGTTGTTCAGTTACCTCTTGAAAATCTCTACTTGTGTTTTGGCAATATTTTTTATACGTGGTGGAAGGAAGGAATTATCAAGGGAAAGCGCCAAGCCATTACGACTATATAGCACTGGGATGGGGTCAGGATAAGGATCTGGGATGGGACGGGGGAAGGAATGGTGCCCCAACCACTTGGACGGTCGGGGATTGAACACCGATCTGCATGAAGCGAGACCGTCGCTCTACTGTCCAGGCCCAGTGGTTGGGTTATATACTTGGTGGAAGGAGGTTGAAAAGCCATGTTGAGGGTTGATGTTCTGATGTCCATACAGTGTTCTCACATTGTTTTTGGTTATTTAAAAGAAAATAGTTAACAGACTGGAATCTGAGTGGGAAACCATTATAAGTGAAGTTCTCCTGCAGGGTTCTATCCTGGGATCTCTGCTATTTATCATACATAATTGATTTAGTCAAATGTTTGCAAGCAAAATTAGCATATTTGCATATGATACAGCATAGGGTGGAAAATATAATCAGGAGGCTCAAAGTTACTAAAAGACGATTTAGATAATTTTAAAATGACCAAACAATTGGCCAGTACATGTTAATGGTAACAGATGCAGGGTTCTGAGACTAAGTGATGTTAACAACACTGAAATTACTAAATTTGACTGCAAAAAAATATCTGGGAGTCATGAGTAATAGAATTTTTAAGTAAAAAAATATATGCATAAATGTATGGAATAAAGCAAATGGGTAGTAAATTTCTAGAAGTACTAATAATAAGACATCTAATGTTATTTTTCAGCTTTATCATGTCCTTGGTAGGGGCAAGATAAAGTTAGGGGCAACTAGCTTTATCTATCAATCATCTAATTAACAATACATAGTCTAATCGTATCCAAAGTTGGACAAATTCCTTTGTAACTGCTGTTTTGATTCATGCTCATGGGGGGCTGTATTACTTGGATATAATATGAATAAGGAAAACGTGATATCTTAATCAGCATTGTACAACCATATTTCAACATAGCTCACTTTCCAAAACTCTGGGTAACATGTCCACATAGAACAATGCTGCAATATGTAAGGGTGCTTCTGGTATATGTAACTATAGTGCAGTGGGACCTCCAAAGTTCATGTCATATCTTTCCAGGCTGGACCCAAATTTCTCAAAATTTGCCCAATTTTGCCTTGCCAAATGTTCAAGATTTTAATTATACCAAGTGATGCATAAGCATATTTGTGCATATGCTTATGCACAAATAAGATACAGGTACTGATTTTGTGAGCCTATAAATATAATTATGCATGAACAAATATGAACTATTAACTTGTTCACTTACTATATTCTAGTAGCACAGGCTGGTCTTGATAACACAGGCAGCAAAATAGTTATAGTACTGTACTATATCATGCCATCTGATAAACTTTACAGTAACCGTATGTATGGAAAGTATGGAGAAAAGAGCTAAATGAGGGAGAGAAAATATGAAGAAATGAGCTATTATCCATTGAGCCATGTAGTGTTTTCACTCCCAAAAACACAACTATTTAACCAATCGGTGGGTAGAGACGCAAGCACCATTGAGGTGTGATCGCAGACCAGAACAAGTCATGAACAAATCCAAACTTAAGTATAATCTTTTAAAGCATTAGCAAGGGCAAGTGTTGTAGTGGTTAAACGGTGAAGAGGAGAAAAAAGCCATGTAAACAAGTATCTTGTTTTATTTTGTGTCTTTTATATATTGAAAAGATTTTTTCTTATTTATTTTGGAAAAAATGTCGGTAGTACTGTATAGGATTTTTATGTTTCTAGATTTTTCACTTCTTTTGGTAAACATTTTATCATAGGCTTGCTTATATTTATAAATACTATATAATATAGCCCCAGTTTAAGTTTTTAAAACTTAACAAAAATCTGTCTCTTTTTTTTTTTTTTTAATAGAGTTGCATTCAATGATTATCTCTTGTAGCAGTTATCAACATGGCTGACACAATTTACTCTTGCAGGAGCTGAAAATACACATAAGAAGCATTAATCACTACCGTCACCATGAAGTCTCCGTCCTCTAGCTCGCAGATCACCAAGCCATGGGTGGAGTTCATGCTTACTGAGTATGAGAGTAAAAAAATGCCAAAAGCCACAGTTAGTGTATCAACGTACAGCATAAGAAATGGTAAGAGATACAGTGCTGTTTATTACAGTATAGTTATTTTGCTGACAATACCAGTACAGTACAACCTCGATTCAACGTACTATATGGGACCAACCCCCAGTTCGTTGGAGCGTTGGATTCGTTGCAAAAGGTGACCTTCAGGAGGCGTTTGTGTCAGTGCCTTTTTTTCTTGTACACAATAAAAATGCATTATATTACATACTGTACCTATATATTACTTCTCTACTAAAAAATACTGTAATTCATAAATTTACCTTATTATTGGAGTTATGTCCATCTTGAAGTTTCGTGAAGTTGTGAATGCTCTACAGTAAATACGTGCTGTAGTGCATTATGCCGTTAGCACTGTGTTGATTAAAAGTAGTTCTGCTGTATGTTGAGTACTACAATACAGTTTATGAAAACTATATTACTTTTGGGGATTTTGGACTTTATATGTATATACCTTTGTAGGGAATGCTATTGCGAACAAAATTATACCAAAATGAACGCCGTAAAATGAACATTGACATTATCAAACTAAAAAAATTATAAACATTTGTGTGCAGGTGTAGCAGGTGTGCAAATGCTTGCTCTTGATTTCATATGTATATATCCCTGTAGGGAATTCTATTGTGAACAAAAAGTTACCAAAATGAACACTGTAACACAAAAATTGAGGTGAGAAAACGGAAGAGAGTAGACATACAGGTACACTGTATTTGAATCTGGCTCCGTGCTCACGGTAAACACTCGGTGCACCTCGAGGTAGGCTGGAGAGCATGCGCCGGGGATGGAAAAGTGTTAAATTAGATGCAAGCTTTCCCTCTTTGTGTGTGTGTCCTCTGTGAATTGCACTCATGTTATAATAATTCATTGTAATAATTCTTCATAATGTATAATTCTTCATTCTCCAGAATGTCTTGGCATAGAACACTTCATCCTGGGTTTTTCCTTTGCTTATTGTTAAGTTAAACTCAAGAAGAAATGTTCTGTATTAGCATTGCATCATATAACTATTTTCTTTATCAGTATCCTTATGAAAATCTTACTCATTCATCCATATCCTATAAATAATTTATTTTCACATCATTGCTTGTCCATGTGCAGTAATTTTCATTTTTATTTGGGTGAGTCTTTAGTATCAAATTACTAGTTTAATTGGGCTCTATATTGTATATTTTCTATAAGTGAAAACTATCACTAAATAATGTTGGAGGTGTGCAGGAATAGAGAGAAAATATAATGAGTTTTAGTGAATGTGACATTGGAAAACTCACCAGGCTTGATGGCAAATTAGTTATCATATCAGGTTTTAAATCTTAAACTGTAAGTTAGAATCACCATTGAGGGAGCAATCTTAATTTAGTTAAGTTTGTTTAAGCCAAGTTTCAATAATATAACTACTGAATATCCACACTTGTTTCAGGATAAATTAATATCAACACCTTATTAAAACGAACAAAGTAATTGCATGTACAGTGCAAAAGTGAGTTGTAATATTTGCATAATAGATTGTCATTCATAATAATAATAAAAATAAAAAAAATTATTAAAAAAATAATAATAATTTTTATTAAAAAAATATACAAACCACAGTACAGTGGTTGAATAGTTGTTACAAGAAAAGCATATTTAATAAAGCCACGAGTATGCAAAGTGCTTCATGTTCTACAGTACTTCAACAATAATTCATGTTCTACAATACTAAAATATAAAGAAAGCAAAATATTTTACATTTTAGTGATTTATTGAGAACTTTACATCGGCCTACATTCAAATGATTCATAATTAATTACTTTTACTTGAAGTTCTGTTTTCTTTTTTTCTTTCATAGCTACAAAACCAGGAGAAAGCTTTAATGCGGAGCTTATCCTTCTCGATGTTCAAGCTGTGGTCAGTGGGGAGAATAGGTCTGAGGAAGCTCAAGAAGAAAAGGAGTACAATCTTGTTGTCAAATTTTTAACGGAAGATCCACTCTCTTGTGAGCTCATAAAACGTTGTGGCTACCATATAAAGGAACTCATGATGTATTCTGAAGTGGTAAAGGAATTAAACGACTTTCAAGCCATCCACGCTAATGATGAATTTCGCTTGTTTCTCCCAGAATTTATCTATGGCAAGTGTACCGAGAAAGAATATGTGTTGGTGATGGAAAATATCAAGGTATCAGGGTATGAAACAAATCCAAAAGTACAGGGTTTGGACTTTCAACATGCCAAATTGGCCGTCAATCATGTTGCCAGGTTACATGCAGTCTCTTATGCATATGACAAATCTCATAACTTTTTAGAGAAGTATCCTTGCTTCCAGTTTAGTAATGCCATAAGTACATTTTTTAAACCTGTTGTGTGGGCTACCCTTGCAAATTCTATCACATTTTTAAAAAGCAGAAAGACTTATGAAGACATGGTTCATAAACTAGAGACAGGTAAAACTACTCTTCCACTTAAGTTTGCAGCAATGTGGGATGATCAGACAAGACACAAGTTTCTTTGTCTAACACATGGAGATTTCTGGAATAGTAATCTTATGTTCAGACATGGAACTACAACACAGGATGGTGAGAAATCCATTGAGTCACTGAAGCTAATCGATTGGCAGATTGCTCAGTGGAACAATCCTGTGTTTGACCTTCACTACTTAATCAACACCTCAACTTCATATGAAATGAGGAGAGACCATGTTGAAGAGATTCTAAGACACTACCATACAACTTTTACTGAAGCAACAACGAAGTTGGGTACTCCTGTGCCCAACTGGAATTATGAACAGTTTAAGGCAGAATTTGAAAGAACATCTCTTGTAGGGTTTCTCATGGGCATGTGCCTCATACAAGGAACACTTAGCAAGGCTGGAGAAAATATTAACCATGCTGGTTCAACATGTCTTAATAATGCATGCTGTCGTCCCTGTAAATTTGTTGTGGATGCGATAAAGACTGCAATGGCAAAAGTTATTGTATCTTTTGCCTTTAAGCCTTCTTCTTCTTATGTCATGCGAGCATGTGTTAAGAGAGTTTTAAGACCTATTGGTAGGGAATTGGTAGAGGGCAGCAATGAGGTTCTCAATGGCAGGCTTCTAGACCTGCTGATAGAAGCAGACGAGAAGGGTGTGTTGGATGTCCTGACTTTATAAGTGATAAAGATGAACTGAAGTGCAGACCACAATAGTGGGTTATACTCTGCTTACTGTCTTTCTTATCATTCAGGTGACTCCTTTTCAGGATGTTAGCAGATGAAATGCATTTCTTAATACGTAGGTGAAAAGATTCCTATTTTTATATCTTTTATCAGAAAAGTGTTCATAGGATAAAGATGAAGTTAGCAGGTTTATACATGTAGTTGCTAGGAGAGTGGATATCAGGGAGTTTTAATGCTGCTTTTATATTATAGGTCAGTACAGTATTTCAACCCATCGTCCAACACTGTTAATACCTATAGCTACTATAGATGGAATGTGCAAAATCTGAACGGTTGCTCTCAAATCAAAAGTTCACATATTGGAATTCTAAAGGATATAATAAAACCCAATACAGATTAACCATAAACCTTACTTGTCCAAGACTTAAATTAGCAATCCTAGGCCTAACATATACAATCTCAGATGTAATTTAGTACTTTATGTACTATACTAGGCCTAGGAAAAATTAGGTTTGGTTGGTTTGCCTTCTTTCTCTGACCCCTTCCAGAATGGGGAGTTGTTTTTCAGTGCATCCCTTCATATTGTATACAGTCCATCTGCATACACTATAGGTCTTATCATTTTAGATGAGAAGTTGCAATATTTGGAAGTATTACGGCGTGCGAGAAATGTTTAAAAATTCCAGTCACGTTTATGCTTATATTGCCATGACAGATCATATAAAGGTTACCTGACTTTTATACAACTGTGCCTCTTGTGCTTCCTGTAATGAATCTGCCATAATAATTAATGCCTTTACAAAATTCAAAGTTACGATTAATTATATTCTATTACAGATTGTATTTGCTTACGAAGCTCAGATGTTTCAAAACAACAATATAATATACTGTACACATCAAAATTGCTCACTTTATTAATGAGTTATATTACATAAAGAAAAAGGTAATTTTTGCTAGATTATATATTTAATATACTGTAGAGTATTAGCTTGCAAAGACAGCCTTGTATAGATACTTTGGTGTAACAACAAACTTAAAATTTAGGTTATAGTTTAAATGTGACATTTACATTTGGAATGTATGTTGAATATGAAGTATGTACACCATTAGAATTTGCTAAATAGGCAAACTCCATGTGATGTCATGGCAGCTTATGTTAAGAGAAGGGATTTTAGGCATTAATGTTTTAAAGCACTGAGCTATGAATATCGAATTCTGAATGCAGATTAGTGTGATGATAGGTATTAATTTCTCTGATTTGTAATACGTTTCTGATAGACTGAAATGTATGCGTAATTTTTATTTTTATTCCTAGTTATTGTTTATGCATTTTGATATATCCGTAATCAAGCAGTTGTTCGTGCTCTCTCTCTCCCTCTTACTTACCATAGTTGATATTTATTGTGTGGAAAGTTTGACTGTAAACTGTGGAGATTGTTAGGCCACCTTGCTCACTGGATATATTGGACAGACACACTTGTCTTATTGTGTCTGCAAGAGTTGCATGCTGTGTTCGCTATGTAAAGAACTGCTGGCCATGACAGGTGTTGAGCTAGACTGCTTACCAAAAATTGATAAATCATAGAAACAGGTTTTTTTTGCCCAAGATTGTGGATGGTCTTGTTACTGTAAACCAGTAATCAATTGTTATCTTTATATTTTAAAACCAGCAAAAAATTTATATACAGTACTGTATTTGGTGTCCAGATGATTGTAGTTCTTTATTTCGATATAAATACAGTCATGCTAGCTTGGCACCTTTTGATAATTACTTACTTAGTATTATAAAGCAAAATTTATAGTGTAAAAGCAATGCCTTGTTGCCAGTTCTAAAGTAGTTTATAAAGATATAAGGCTCTTTGTTTTCATGGTATTAAAATAACAAATACAATGAAAAGCTGGTTGGTACATTTTTGTTAGGTGTTGTGCATCATCAGGCATCCCTGGTATGGATGTCTTTTTTTTTTTTTTTTAACACATTTGTGTCATTCACAAAGGCATATCAGCCTTACTCTTTCAAGACTTGGGCATTTGGTGCAAGGACGGTCCTATATTACTATTGGGCCATGCAGCTCTCTGATGGCAGAGTTTATATCACTTTTACATTTAAGGGAACTTAAGCAATACAGTGGCACCTCGACTTACGATTGCCCTTACTTACGAATTTTTAGTTACGAAGCAAATTTTGTTAGAAAATGTGACTCAACTTGTGACGATCATGCTTGTAAAGAATTTAATTATTTTTGTGTTTTTTTGTTTTATGAACATAAAAGTAATTATTATGTATCATGCCATGGGTCGCAAGAAAGTCAGTGGTAAGGTTTAACCTAAGAAAACACGTGAGGAGGTTACCTTGGTTACCTAGAGGTGATTCTGGGGCTCAGCGACCCCGCGGCCTGGTCGTCGACCAAGCTTCCTCGTTGCTGGACTGGTCAACCAGGCTGTTGGACGCGGCTGCTCGCAGCCTGACGTATGTCACAGCCTGGTTGATCAGGTATCCTTTGGAGGTGTTTGTCAAGTTCTCTCTTGAACACTGTGAGGGATCGGACAGTTATGCCCCTCAGGCCTCTGATGTTGATAGAGTTCTCTCTCAAGAGTACCTGTTGCACCTCTGCTTTTCAACGGGGGATGACCATAGAGGAAAAACAAGAGATCATTCCTAAACATGAAAATGGTATGAGGAGTGTTGATGTAGAGTAGAGGATGTCCGTAACTCATTTATTAAGAAAATGTGTGCAGTATGGGAAGAACTGCAAAGTTTTGCTGAAGTGTGTCTCCCTAATCAAGCTGTAGCAGGCTATTGTGTTAACCTTTTTAATGACAACGTGATGTCTAACTTTAGACAAGTGTTACAACGTAGGGAAAAACAAGTGTCGTTAAACAGGTTTTTAGTGAGAAAAATGAGCAGCGAGCCACAAGCAGGTCCTAGTGGTATGCAGGCAAAATGTAGGAGAAAGAGCACCCCAGAAAAGTCATTACTGCCTGATGTTATAATGGAAGGGGACTCCCCTTCCAGACACTAACACCTCTCCTCCTCATTGTTTTCCATACGCCAATAAGAGTCCTCATTCAAGATAAGATATACGTACAGTACTGTATTGTAGGTAGTGCAAAATGAGTGTTATTCGGTATAAAATGTATTTTTAATTTAATATTTTTGGGGGTGTGGAACGGATTAGTTTAATTTACTTTATTTCTTATGGGAAAATTCATTTCAACTTATGACCCGTCTCTGGGAACGGATTAAATTCGTTAGTCGAGGCCCCACTGTATCTCAAATATTCATAAGCATAGCTACACAAATAAAACTGAGGATATTGCTGCTTATCCAGGGATTCCTTCATGTACTATTTTGACATCTCTTGCAGTAGTACCAAGTTTCAGAAATTAATTTAACCACTGCACTGCACAAAGCGCCTTTGGTGCTCTGAGAGTTGTGCTTTTTTTTTTTTTTAATTAGGCTATATTTTTGTGTTTTCATTACTCATTGTGTTTTGAAATGGAAATAGTCGAGTTTGGAAACATTTTGACATTAACTTTACATGAATATTTATAAAACAAAAATATGTCCTTGACAATTGCACTAAAAAGTTTTTGCTGAAACCAGGTGTGCAGTGCAGTGGTTAAAGTTGAGTCACCTTAATGTTTTGTATCCCATCAATTCTTGTAAGTTACCAATAAAAGCATAAAGGTTCTATTGATGTAAAGGACAAAAGACAATACAATATGGACTTTAAAAATTGCAGTGGTGTAAATTGTACCAATTTGTTGGTATTCTTATGTGGTTTGCAATACTTAGGAATTCCTCATTTCTCCTCATTGTTGGTCTTGCCAAAATACATGTACATTTTATAAATGAACATGGCAAATCAGCTAAACTTTATTTTTGTTATAGATTTGTGACTGCTTAATTGATATCTTTTAAGCAATAGTAATTTATTATTTGAATTAGTGGTGTGCCTTCCTGAGAACATGGAATGTGCAGCAAGTGTTATACACTTGTCATGGAAAAAGAAGTGTATACCACTTGCTGCGGTAAAGATCCAGTTATGAACGAGCGACTGTTAACATTTTTAATGGCCAGATTTTATGTGGTTCTGTTTTTTTTCCTGCCCATATAATTCCTTGTTTAAGATAATGCTAATGTTACTGAATAATTCTTGTATTTTTCTATTCACTGTTTGTGTGCAAGTGTAGAATATTTCTGTATACTGCATATGCACATGTATATATGTATAATTGCACAAAGAAGATTGATTGTTTGAAAATATGTCATATTAAACAAATTTTTTTGTCATTTATTGGTGTAATTTATGTACTGTATTGGGTTCTCGATTATACGTTGATCTTTTTAAGAACTTGTAACATAGTATTAAACATGGAAATTCAAGGTGCCTCTTCAATAATTACAGTTAAATAAGGCGTTTCTTAAAATGTGTATCTTACGCTTAATCAGGCTTCGTGTTACCAGCAGTTGTTGTTCAGAGATTATTCATATGGAAACAAACATATCTAACGTGACTTAATTTTTGTCCCTACCGTGTGTGAAGCAGTTTATGGTAATATAACTTGGGTTGTATTACATTACGGGTAATTATCCATTTATAACTGTTATTTTTATTACTTAATGGGCAAAGTATTGCCCCGTTACCTGTATTAAAGACTAGGTGTGTGTGTGTATCAATGAGCATCACATGCTGGTCATTTAAAATCATCAATTCATCTTCTCCTTAAAAATAAAGTTAATAGCATTTTATTTTACAGTATTAAATTTTGTTTTTATGATTTCTTATAAGTAACTTAACTGATTAAATTATAAACAAAAGAGGGTGAAGTCGTCCAATGATATCAAGTATAGTACTGTATTTAGGTTGCAAGACATTTGGGATTGCTTTTAAGTACTTTATAGTACTATGGTAACATGTTTTATGGTATAATGTATAGTTTATCATATATTTAGAGATCTTACTCATGTAAATTTGATCATATTTTGTTGTTTTCTTTAATAAATGTATTTTTCTAAATGTAAAAACAATGACTATTAAAATCAAAAGTAGTTTTAAGTGTTACATATTGCAAAGAATAGTATTATAATAGTCTTTTGCATACTAGAGGACAGGGTAGAAAATAGCAACTCTTCTGCTATTTTGGCTTTTAACAACTAACATTAGCATAGATAAAAAAAAAAAAATTTGGCAATTTCACGTATAATCGAGAGCATTCCTTTTATATATAAAACAAAAATCCATATTCTCCCTTTATCTCTCTGCTTGTATGAATTGGCAAGTTAATTCTATGACTAATGAATCAAGTAAATAGTATTGAAATTTTAGTTTCTGGCAAAGGATTTGACCGAATTTTTTCTAACGTAAAACTGGTGGTGTAAATTATTCCTAGTTTTCTAATTTGTTTTTATATTATGTTAAAATAATATTTTTTATTTTGGTACATTACCTATAATTTAGTGGATGGCAGTTTTGATTGAAAACAAGTTAAAAATTAAACTGTCAAGACAGGTGTTGTAGGTCGGTGTATGAGTAAAAGACAAAAACTGAACACGGTCTCATAATTTTCCATAAATTAAGCAACACGATAATTTTCATAATTAAATCTTTAAATTAATACCCTAGTGGACACTGTTGGCTGAAAGTGACCTACATGACATACTGGTTAGTACGTAAAGTCAGTCGCTTCCAACAACCAATGGTGCCCACTGGCAACATTGGGGACATGAACTATTCCTTGGTGGAGTGGTCACAGATTTCCTGACGCCAAAAAATTCTTCGGGCTGATTCGGCACCGAAAATGAAGCATTAGTCACTTGCTTTGAGAAGCAATACATGAAAGGGATTATTTCCCTCGACCAGCGCAAAAGACGTAAAGGAGAAAGTTTTCTATCATGAAGGCAACCACAACATGGTATTGTAGATTTCAGTCATCCTCCATATTCACCCCTTGAGATGTGGTGAGCAACCAGACCCTAGGACTACTCAAAGATCTGTGGATACTATTTTGTATAGCTTACTGGTTTAGTTTTTTCATAGTTATTGGCGCATATCGGCTACTACATCTCTGAACATTGCAACCCCACTTCCACCTTGGTAACCACTTCTCTGACGGTCAGGTGTGACATCCAATGTCACACCAAGTATGATGTGACTACTACTTCAACTACTACTACTCAGACATTTTATTGACATAACCCTATACTGTACTGTACTTGTGATCATCAAGGGAT